ATAAATGATTAATAAATCAACAGATATAAGACTAATGTTTTACAATGTTAGAGTCAAAGTTTACGACAAACACCTTTTCCTTCATTCAAAGTACGTCTTATAAAAATATCATAACATTTACGATGAATTTAATATGGGTGGAACGAATCGGACGGACGTTTGCACTGCGTAGAATGGTAGTTGTGTGTTTTTTTCTGTCCGCTTGATTCCCGGTAATGGGCGTGGACACAGCGGTCGCTGGACCTCTCCAAATGTTTAAATTGCACTCGCTGCTCTCCCCGCCGTCTTTCTGTTTAACTTTTATGTGCCAAGGACAAAGTGTTCGTATTCGTGTGATTTTTACTTGAACTTAGGCAATAAATTACGTAAGTAAAATTTACGCATCCACATTAGCTAGAAGCATGACGTGTCTGATACATGTTTACAATCGAATTCAGATTTGTTATTTTATTAGCAAATGAGCTCCTTGTGAGAGAGTACGTCCAGGAAAGTACTGCCACCTTATCTTTTATATATTTTCAAAGTTATCTCACATTTTTGAAATCTTCCAATCGTAACATAACGCTGTAGTAAATTTTACACCGTTACTTTCGTTAATTTGGTAGGGTAATTTAAATTATAATTTATTAGTTGTAGTCTCCCCCTGTCATATTATTGTATTGTATTTGTTAATTAATTTTTTAGCTCAAAGTCAAACAATCATTTACTCCACAGGTAAAATTTTTACACTTGAAAACGTCATTTTTTTAAGCTACTGCTCGTGCTTAGGGTCGCCGGACTAAAGCACATAAGTCAAAATCCAACATCATTAATTTAAATTAATACATTCACTGGCACATAAGTCCAATTCATTTGTTAATTCATAAATTTCGAACTTTATTCTAGAGGTTATTTAACTTACAACACTAAAAACAACACAAAAAAAAATACATAATTATATATTAACAAATGAAGCACTTTTTTTAGTTATGTGCTTTAGTCTGCCGACCTTAACATTGTGCCGACTTCCCTGAGAACGTGCAAGAAACTCTAGCGATTGCTCTTTTCAAATTTTCTTAAATGCTGCTAGAATACATTTGGAATCATATTTGTGTATCTAGATTCATGTTGTCTTTCTATACATCTTTATCTAACACGTAGTCTACAATTTTGTAATATGTATTTTCAATTAAAATACTTTTAATGTAAGTTTTAAACTTAGGAAATGGTAATCTTAATATATGCTCCGGAATCTTATTTTAAGCTAATATAATGCTGTGCATAGCTGTTAGTGTAATGCAGATTTAATTCAGCAACAGTAATTTCTATTAGCAATAATAATTTGTATTCTGTAGCTGTGCCAATAATAAACAAGTACCTTAATTAAAATCCAAGTATATTTTTGAGTTCACAATTACGACTATGTTGTTCTCTATAACATTGATTTTCTCAACAAAACACGTCGGTATGTAACTAAAAAGGTAACAAAGCTGACACTGCTTTCGAATCACATAATGCCTTGTTTGGATAAACCGGTGCTCGTAGTTTGCACCAGCCGCTTTTGCTTCTCAGGAATGAACGTTAAACTACCCACTTCTTCGTAACAAACGTGGACAATTACCCAGATTTCAGCACTAAATATGGATACCGAGAACATTATATACAACGTTTCAATACGCCTTTGTTCATAATTTAATCAGTGTCATATTTCGTTCGAAAATTATAAATATCGTTATCTACATTAATACTTTTATTATCATTAAAACGTATATTTACGCCGAAATGTAATTCTCGGAATTACATAATGTAACAATACGATATATTTCAATTTTAGGTACTATATGTCTTAGAGTAGTAGCAGTAGAGCTTCTTGTGAAAGAGTTCGTCCAGGGAAGTACTGTCACCATACCTATTTCTGCCGATAAGCAGTAAAGTGATCATTACTGCGTTCCGGTTTAGAAGGGTAAGGTTGCTGCTAATTATTCAACACTCAGTTTATGATCATTATTGTATTGTACTAGAGCAGAGTACGATATGACAGTCTGACGTATAAAATGGTGTAAGTCGTTTGCAGCTCAAGTACATTTAACTACCTTGGTTATGGCGCATTTACACCGGACCATTAGACAAGCCATTCCACATAACCAAGTCTAGTGAAAAGTATGAAAGTCGCAACGTCTTTCTACACTACAGCCAGTAATACAATAAGTTTGTTTAAGATTCTTTACTAAACGGCAAGGCAAACTAGTGGAGTGGCTCAGGATGCGCGTTCACACAAGGCCTTTACATATGCCAATTCAATGCACGTGTGGTGGGGGAAGGTATTTAAACGAAAAATTAGATATCGTTCTAATTTAGTGGATTGTTTTTATCGCTAGTCTGGAGACACTCCATAATGGATTGTCTCACATGACGCCAATAATGGCTTGGCTTAATGGAATGGCTCGTCGATTGGCCCCGTGTAAACGGTCCTTTACGGTTAACGGTAAAAACGCTATGTCCAAACATTTCAAACTCAAATTATCTTTATTTCATAGGTAAGCTAATTACACTTGAAATCGTCATATTGATTAAACTTGGGGAACAGAAGCTTTTAAAATGGTAGGTAGGTATTTAGAGTATTGCCCCGAAGTGTTTGTGTGTGTTGTAAATTCTGTTACTCTGGTACTCATAGTACAGGGAATGCTCTAGTTTGTGACCAGGCAATGGACGCGGTCGTCTGGCACATTAAATAATCTACGTACAGAGTACTAAAAAAACAGACTTCAAAAGTTCGTGGAATTACATTTATTTGCCAAGTATTATTGAAATCAATTACCGTAACCGTAAAGTGTGCGAAAACAGCTTCGTCTCCTAGTTTGCCATCCTTAGAGGTGGAATAATTTCTTTCAATTTAAATGGGACCATCGCTGAGGATACCCTCTTTAAAAAAAAAGAATCAGCCACATCGGTTCACAAAGTTTGCCGGAGTTATCGCGTTATATATAGAAAAAAAATTAAAAACGAATTGAGAACCTCCTCCCCTTTTCGAAGTCGGTTAAAAAGGTGCAAATTCATTTAAGGGTCAATGTATACGTATACTTTGTACTAAAAGTTAATATTACAGTTTCTGCGTACTTAGATGACAAAAATCCATGTTAATGACCCGTTTAGCTCATGTAGTTTGTCTGGTCCGTGATATTTGAAATAAATAATCGAAATGATAAATGTTTATTTACATAGAGCAACTCCTAGAGTGTCTAGGAGTCGTATTCTAGAACTCTATTCAATGCTCAAGTCAGGATTGTACTGGAAACACAAGCACTGGAAATACGACCCTAATGGCAGGGACTTGAGTATGATTTCGAGTGCTTTAAACCATACTCAAATCCCGACTTGAGCATTGAGTAGAGTTCTAGAATACGACCCTTAGTCATTCTTCCCAGGGGAATCTTATGATATGAAGAGCAGTAGAGTTTAATCAGTATGACGTATTGTACAATACACTGAAGTACAAATGGGGGACTTAATGTCATAAGGCAATTTTAAAGGCAATTTTAAGTGTACCTTATTTACCTATAAAATAGACATTTATAAAATATTGTTTAAATTGAACTTTTGCACACATTTCACGTTTAACCTGTAAGGGTTTGGAATCTGAACGGAATAAATAGTGTTCTTGGATACAAGTTTTTTTTTCGTGTCGGAGTAACATATTAGAAAAAAATTTAATTGTTTTTTTTTTATTAACTGATCAGATAAACTTGCAAACCAAGGAATGTCAACTCTATTGTAAGTTGCCAGTAAGACCTTCAGAGCAATTGTCCAGGAATAAATAGTAATAGACACTAGGCCGACTTGCTAAAGTACATAATATAATTGAAGAACTCTGCCACAGAATTTTCAAATAGTTACTCACCACGCGACACGATTCTACAATTCAGTATAGATAAAACTCGACTTTCAACCTCAAACGTTAATTTATTACTCTCGCCTCATTCCCGGAGATAAAATCTTCCTTTTTTTTTCTAAAGGCTTGGATCCTCGACTTTTTATCTCTGCTTTTCGAACCGGATGCGAATAGATTGAAAAGGTATAAAGCGAACGAGGCAGAATAATGTGTTTATAGCGTAGAATTGAATCTGTTAGGGTTTTAATTCGCCTCCTTAATTGAAATTACAAGCACATAGGATTTGTCAACGTATGACGGGCGCAGTGGCAGTACCCCTCAGATCTTTGCGATTTAAAGTTCGTGAGTGATACTGCAACTGCTAAAGACAGGCATGTCATTATTATTATTATTATGTAGTTGAAAAAAAATTAGACCTTTTCTTGTCCTCAAAAGTTACGTAAATTGTCTTCAAAAACAAAAGCTACTTCATATTACGCGAGAAGGTCAAGAGTTGCGAAAAATGTAAGCAGTGTTGCCAGATAGTTGCATACTATCTGGCAGCACTGCTTACATTTCTTTCCAATCTTGTCTAATAGAAATGTGGATGACGGTTATACATGCTTTGTGGAAAATACCCATTCACTCTAACCTTGAAAATACCCAAATTGCCAAAGATTTGAGGTTTTTAAGTAAAATTTTACCGAACTTCAACAACATTTTGTTGTTTCGTTCTTGTTCGTTCTGTCACTTGGTATTACAGACCAGATAATTGGTTATCTAGTCTGTGCTCGGTATCTTAAATAAACATACTGTTAAAAGATGTTTTAAAAACAACGTGGCGCCAGTCATAATGATGTGCGATTCGGCTAGTGCCAACATTCGTCCGCCACTCTGACCCAATCCGAACTGGGGACTCGATAAGTTTTCCTTGGGTTATAAAGCTTCTTCGAATGTCACCATCACTATGTTTTTCTGTACCGTTAGCCGAAAAGTATTTCTACTAAAAACATATGTATGTCATATTGATTTTTACTGAATATCATGATATCAACTAGGGGTCTAGTCTCGTTCTCTACTAATAAGCAGCAGGTATTAACACTCGTGTTACTTTTTCCGTGTACCAAATTCAAGTAAGCAATTTCTTTAACAGGACAAGAAACCAAGCGGTGGAGACCTTATGGCTGACCTTCATGCCAAGTTATCAATGCGGCGTCGCGGAATCTCTGGAGCTGAACGTTCTAGCGGAACAGTACTACATACCCTCGCCAGCGTCATACCCGAACCGGGAGAAGAATCTTCGGCAGCACAGCATTCATCCAGTGAGAATGAGTGGGAGTGAGCTTTTGCCTAAAGGTATTAAAAAAAAGGATATAAGACCGCCTTTCCCATTTATGGTATTTCGAAAATAGAATCTTACTTATTGTGTAAACAAATCTCGTTCAATATATAAATTGTTTAATAAATGTTCTTTTGACTTAAAAAAAAAGGTTATCCAAAAATAAGTTAGAGACAGTTACGGACTTGAGGTTTAAATTAAACATGTAATATTTTAAATTATACACGTATTTAAAGAATTGAACACGATTATACGAATTACTGCTGGTCATAAATAATAATGATAAATAATTTATTAAAATTTGGCGGTCTTGCTGGTCCAGCACCGTGAGTTCTAATATAGAGTCCCGGATTCAATTCCTGGTAACACCAATTTGACATACGAACGTTTCTTTGGTTCTAGTCTGGAGCCCTACTCTCGAAGCACGATATCAGTAGTTACAGACGTTTTCCCACTATAAGACGATTTTAGTTTCGATCGATCGGGGCTAAAACTGGACGTAGTTTAACAAAAATGATCCAATACACATCCAGTAACTTTCGAGATATGGCAGGAGATATTTATTTGTTTATATGTTGGATTTTTATTTATTTACGTTTATATGTTGGATTTTTTTTTGCTGATCTACGAGGTTAGACTTTAGGAAGCGTTTGATACATGTAACAAATTTTTTGATAATTTTGTGGATTGGAGCCTTTTTGCTCAACTACGTGCAAATAAGAATATAAATCGCATTGTCATACATTCTTAGTTTGTAACTATCAAGTTTCGAATGGGCCCGTGTTTTCGTTGACAAACTTCGAGAGTATGGATGTTGTGAATAGTGCTGCGGAGTTAATTTCTCTAGGCCATTGAATTTACTTTGAGACCAGGCAATTGGCATGGTTATTTAAACATTACAATAGATAGGAGGACTAGATAGGAGTATTAATGTTATCTGCTTAATTTCTGTGGCATTTTTTTATTATTGAAGTGTTTGACTATATGAGCTTTAATAAATTATAATATTGTCGGGGATAGTGCAAAGGCGCGTATCTGCACTAAACCAAATTTCTCAGGAGAGGGATTTAACGTTATTACTTTGTTATTTCAAGGGCTACGCCTTTCATTTTTGCACACCAAGCATTAATTCATGTTGTCCATTGACTGATAACAATAGATTCCCGTAAATCACGCTAATTTGGTTGCCACGATATTTACGCGTATTTGATTTGGTAACTAAATTACCGAAATGGAAACTACAATCAAATGCCAGTTACGCGTAATTGCACTATCACCGACGATATTTATGTCATGTGAATACTTAAATAATTAATTATGCTCCGGAAATTAGGCAGTGAATATCAACCAGAGAACGATCGAAATATTTTGGATTCACATAAAGGAACATCCTCAAGGAACAGTCACATCTTAGAACATAGACATATAAGTACACTCCCGGGCACATAATTCGAGCCACCTTGCATTTTCAGTATTAAATGTCTTAAAACAATATTTGAGGATATCAACGCAATAGTGGTGTAACCCACATTAACCTTTTTCTACAAATAACTTTAAATGGTACTGTACTTTAAATGGTGGTTTTAGTGGTATATGACACTATAGAAAATAAATACATGAACGTGTATTTTACTGTAATTTAAAATAATATTGCAGAAAAAAAATTGAATCTGGATTACACCACTTTTGCGCTGATAGTCTCATTTTAAAACTGGTGCACAAAATGTCATTTTCCGAACCAAAATCGCAGAATACTTATTCTTGGATAATAACAATATTTGTGCGTTCTAACTCCTTGAAAATTAAAATGCAAGGCGAGTTGAACTTCCATCCGGGTGGGTGTGTATATAAATTAAGATATTTTGAAAAAAAGAAATAGATTTTTAAAGTGGACTCCTACGATTTTGAGAAATATCTTAATGTCGTTCAAAGAATCAAGATAATTGCCCAATACACACTTCGGACTAAGATATTAATTTACTCCAGGAAGCCATCAGGCATTGATTGTTTCTTACGTAACGCGCGTTTTAATCTCGTTTCTGGGTAAATTGGAACATTCTTAAGAACGCTTCACGCCTTCGACGTTTTCTAATTTAAATGTTTTCTCTTGAATTGGGTTCTAAACTCTCGTTTATCGTAATAATCTCTACACAAACCGTATTTCAAATTACTACCATTGGACCACTTCCTTGAAAAAAAAAAACATTAATTTTTTGTTTCTCTTCTACAATTTTAAATTATAACTTTTAATAAATAAGCCTCTCTTACGCTGCTTAATTGCGTTCTCGAAAATCAAAGATGCGTATTACCAAAACGCACAGCATCAATCATCTCACAGTTTTTTTCACGTCACGGAACATCTGTGTATATGTTTACAAATGGAGATCGGAAAGAGCCCTCCGCCTGTTCCGGGAGGTTATTACGATAATCACACTTCTCACTAGCCCCCGTAGTGCTGGGAACTCATCGCACTGATTGCCCCATTTGACTCGAAATCAATTAAAGAGTTGACTTACGAACGCTTATCAGTACGATTGAATTTCAAGAAATTGCAATTAGGTAATCTGTCTAAAGATCTTATCCTAATTTTGATTTAACTGATAACTAAAATAGCTCACTAATAAACAATTTAATTCAATTTTGCCTACTCAATTCATGGATAAATCACGAGGGTGTATCCAATAGAATTTCAAAAAAGAGTAATTGATTAGACATTATTTCCAGTTCAATGCCTGTTGTTCTTTCTACTCAATAAAAATGCAGCTAAAAAGTATCTTGTCTTATATGATATTACGAGTACAACTTCACGGTAAGATCGAATCGATTGTCCTTCGCTAAGTAAATACCTGATAAAACAAGCGATGCTGCACAACCCTAGCAGATATCTCGCTTTCGTTTCTTAGAAGGTACGCGCTCCCCGCGAACTATCAACTGGTTCGGGCGATTAGCATTTCCAGAATTGAGAGAAATAAAAGCATTAATCTGTTCGTACAGGGAACCTGATGATGCCGTTTTTATAATGCGTTTATTGAACTCATTCATATTGACACCAGTGTTGTTTTATTAATTGTGTCTTCAGATTATTTTCCATTTGCCTAAACAAAGTAAATCATATTGCACTACTTCTTTTATGCAACTCCACTGAGAGAAATAAAATCATTGATCTTTTCGCACAGGGAACCTGATGATGCCCTTTTTATAATTCGATTATCGAACTTAATCATATGAACATATTTATTGTTTTGTGTATTGCGTCTACAAAGTACTTTCCAAATTCTTCAAAAGCCTAAACAAAGTAAATAATATTGCAATACTCCTTAAAACCAACTAACTGAGAGAATGACGTTTTTATAATACGAATATCGACTTCAAGTTTTATGTATTACATCCGCGAAGTACTTTTTAATTGTCCAAAAGCCTAAAAAAAAGATGTTGCAATTAGTTGTTTTATCAACATTTTACTAAAAAACAAATGAACTTTAAATCTATAATTAAGTAAGGGGGTCGATCAATCGATACCCAAGTCTATCGCTCAAGTTTTGTTCAGGCTAAATAATTCTAGTTCTGAAGTAATAGATTGATATTTGCTTCAACGATTTTATTTCTGAATTTGCATACATTCATTCATTCAATTTTGAAAATATCGTTTAGCCTTTTTTACCTTGCAACGTTCCATATAAGTAAAAGAAGTGGTACGTAATGTTCAATGTTTTGTTGTTAATGCTATCGATAAAGTAATAATATCGGATAATACAGCCGATAAAATGAACGGCAAGAGGAAATTATAAAGTGCTTAAGCGTTATCCAGCTCTAATTAATCCGTAGTGATTACAATAACACAATATCAGAAAAAATGTATTGAAACTATTTTAAAGGCATTTTCATTAATTCGTATATTTTTTTACTATGGCTGTTGCATATATTAAAGTGAAGTGGTAGAATAGAAAAACAGAACATAAACGATGGTTTTCTAGAAATCGGCCTATTTCAAAATCATCTAATTAATCAGAAAGATAGATTAAAAAACTGACGCGTGTAAAAAAATTTAGCGCATTCTGAATATAACTATGTAATACGTAGAGACAGGAATAGGTAGGGTATAATTTTATAGATGTGATAATATAGAGCGGATAGTACCTCCGTCCGAAATCCAGGAATGATGAAAAATAAAAGGCAAAAAATCAAAACGGTATGCTGAAGGCGCTGGTTCGAATCCAGCCGGATCAAAGTTTTTTCTTAGTGTTTGATCTTTGTATTAATAATTTTATTGTTATATTTTTAATTACAATGACAAAACTTTTCATCTAAATATATAACAATGCCTTTTTGAATTAATTGCTAAACATCAAAATAATAACAACTACCACTATACATACTTGAAGTTTAAATAACTGCCTATTCCTATATCTGGTAATAAGTTAATAGAATTTACTTTTTTGGTTTGGGGCACTTTTCATCTTTTCTTGAAAACCAACAAAATTTAGTTTCTTGCACTGAAATTGCTCTTAAATTAGCTTCAGGTCGTATTGATCGGCCTTATAAAATATTTATATAACCAATTTACTACGTGAATAAACTTTAGAATGTTCTTACGTGCTATTTAACTGTGGTAAAGAATTGGCTATGCAAATTGTAGTATAATATTGCACTGTTGCTTTAATTTAAATGAATATTTTACTGTACATACAGTGCTTTTGTCTGGTTTATACCGGTTTAGAACAATGTTAAGAAAATTGTCGTTTTCTATAAAAATCGATGATAATTTCGTTACGAGCGTGACGCTTATGGATCTGATTAAGATAATAAGTAGTATAAGGTATGCAATTACGTGATCGTTAAAGTACCTGGCCATTTTGAGAGAACTCCGACTTTTATACTATATGTATGAACATTAGAGTTCTGTTGAAAAATGCTATGCTAAGTGTCGTAGTTGGGCTTACACACGTCATGATTTAATTTTTTTGTGAATTGCGACATTCACGATGCAAAAAATCATCAAATTTTTAAAATGTATGCACGATACTTGCATGTGTGCGTTTCAAAAACCGTTATATTAGTCGTAAAATAAAAAAAAATACAATAGAAAAATTTCGTGGTAAAACCTAGAGGGGTAAGAAAGAAATACCCAATAAGGGTGCTATAAACAGCTCAATTGATTTTTATAGCGATGTTTCCCATTAGACTAGACACTTTTAGATTTAAAAAACAAATGACATTTTATTAGAATCTTATTTGCAAAATATACCTCAAGATTATAAAACTTAATGTTGAAATAAAAAGTCTACTAAACTACAAAAGTTTATATAAAGTTCATATTCGTTTGACTGTAGTTTTGTACCTAATTGCGTTAATTTTTTTCTTTAAAATTGGAGTCTATCTTATAAAGCTTAGTGTACATTTTATAACATTTAATACGAAAATTTTAGCATCAAAAAGATAGCCAAAAATACACATAGTCTTCTGAACCTTGATGAATTTGTTTACAAAACGCATGACTTTTGCTTTTAAATTCGCAAAAAACAAGATCTGACAAATAGAAAACGTAAATCCAGCCTTAAGTCATGTTGTTTAAGAAATTTACTTGACTTAAAAATCTTTTGAAAGCATGTTTTTCCTGCTAACACCGCCCGTGCGTGTAATCACAGCTTCACAGAATGTTGTCATTCTTTTATTATCACAATATAAATACAATGAAAGTACATATTTATTATCAGTTCATTAATGTGGACGTTTGTTTTTGAAAATATTTATTTCGACGTAAGTTTTTGTCAAACGAATTATTTACTCTAATTGTATTTATATTAAAGTGCGTGTAAACATCGTTTGTTAGCACTGTAGAGTGGTTACACACGGACACTTTTAGCAGCGATATAAACGCGTTTTTGTGAAACGCGCTATTGCATCGTGACACTAGCGATTTATACGCGGTTGCATGGATGCAAACGCGCGATTCGCGTATGTTCAATCATTAAAAACGTGCATCGCCATTGTATCGCAAGCCACACCGCAAGCGAAGCAAAGTTGACTTAGCTCACATAGCGGCATGCTACCAATGACCTGTTGTCAGTACTGTCAAACGACAATAAAACAAATACATAAAAGTGAATTCAAATTATTGCTCTATGGTAGCTTGTTTGCATTATCATACCGTACTATACATTACACAGACCATTTATGGCCAAAGGCGTAATTGAACGGATATTCCGAATATGTCAATAACATCTGTATGTTATACGTTCCAGGCTTTCTGAAAGTAAACAGTTGCTTCGCACACATTCGATACTATTATTACCACATCGATAAAACAACATAAAAATAGATTTTTCTTGTTTAGACTTTTCAATCAAATCGATGTTTAAAGATTTCAAGTTCGTTTATTTCTTTGTAATGGCGTTACTAGAATGCATTTTTAATTACTGTGATCCGCCTTGCGGTTTGAATGTTCATAGTTTTGATTCACATACTCATGCATTAAATTGTATACGCAAGCCTATGAAGTAAAAGAAAAAAAAACAGTACTCTCTATCTAAAAAAAAAACAATAAAATGACATATCAAAATTTCCAACAAAACAAGGAAAACATTAATATATAAAGTGGCTGTTAGATAGAACCTTTGCCTACTCAAATAAATGGGTGAAAACTTATTAAAAAACATGAATCTCAAAGGAAGATTTTCTACCCATGTACGTTTCTTTTCAAACGGAGCTTTAGGTTTCCATAAGTAGCCAATTAGAGAGAAAAATGTCGTACATAGTCGTACATTTATGCAGTTTGCAAAACCGAAACGTGACTGTGTTTGTAATGGGAACATTGGAAACGTAACAAGCGGCCGGCGTCTCTTGTATTCGTATTAGGTACATTTATATGCCGGGCGGTGTACGCCCCTAGACAGTTAAATTCTCGGGACTAGCTGTATGCTAAGCTTCACAAGGATTAGGAACAGCTTCAGCACTTTTACATTTCGTCGGGGATAGTGCAAATCTGCGTATGTAGCGTTGGTAAAAGGCGCGTATCTAGCATTGGTAAAAGACGCGTATCTTCACTAAACCAAATTTTACAAGAAAATAATTGAACGTCATTACTTAGTTATTTCAATGGCTATGACTTTCAATTTTGCACAGTAAGCACAAATTTATGTTGTTTACGGACTGATAACGATAGAACCCGTAAATCGTGCTAATTTGGTTGGCACGACAGTTACGCGTATTTGATTTGGCCACTAATTATCCAATATGCAATAATATGCAAGTTTGCATTTATTCCGAAATGCAAACTTATAATCCAATGCTAGTTACGCATTATTGCACTATCCCCGACGATATTTATATATTTAGTATTTTTGGACAAAATTTTAAGTTCTTGGTTGGAAATTTAGCAATTTTTTCGGGTCTCAATAGCGTGACCATAAGTCCTGTAAAGAATACCAAACGTCGGGTTTTTTTTAAGTAAAAATACGTGATTTAGGTAAGAGAAAATAGTTTCACTTCGTAAATGAGACAATCGCGAAAACCTTAGAACATACCCTTGATCTATTGTTACTTAAATTTCAGTCCACGTTCACCGTAATATTGTCAATCTGGACTACTTCCCAACTAGTAAGAAAAGCTGTTTCTACGTACAATTCACAGTACCAAGTTTCCAAATAAAACTAACCTTACCAGTTTAACTAACTCGTATTTCTAGTGAACTCATCACGTTTACTTATAAAATCTCATGTTTACCTATTATGCTTGTATCGGGTTTGCGAAACCGCAAGACAAACATCGGTCGAGCGATCCTTGTTCTCGACGAGCCGGGCCTTGCCTTAACACAACGTGACCTCAAATAAGTCGGGTAGAAAGTACCTAGTAATTTAACGATTTCCCTATCAAAACGGCTGTCGAGCGTATTTCACTCGACGAAGTCAGACCCATTAGTAATATAAAATTTCACGTCTTGCTTTGACCGGTATTGGTTTAATCGCGAATCAAATGTCAAGGCTCACGCTAGAATCGTCGCATGAAATACACGAAAGCCGGAAATTGTTTATGTTCCATGCACGCGTGGAAAATTGCATTTTCCTAAAAATAGCGAGCATAGTAGCACAGTTACGTAAGAGATTATTGTGTAATCGCTTCGGCAGCTGTCCGCATTAGGTGCTGTATGTAATGCCATTGTTTTAATTAGTTAATTATATGTTAAGTTTTATTTTAAAGTATTAAGATATAATGTAAGTTTTTATCACTTAAATGAATTTTAGCTCGTAGCTAAGCTTTTATTGAATTGACTTATCAATTTTAAAGCCTGTTGATATTATAGTTTTTTATTATGTATTTGTATATACAATAATGTAATGATTTTAATTGTATAAAATTATATGCGTAACAGGTAACTATTAATATAAATTAGGTATACTTGCCTTATTAGGATTATGATAAGTTTTTGACTGATTGATTTTAAATATATTTTAAGCACGATCGGAAGTAACAAATTTCCAAATATCGAAAACTTTTGCTTCCGATACTTTTTATGCCTATAGATTTTCATACGCATTTCCTTTTAAGTCGATATAATGTTTTGTTACGTACAACAAATAAATAGTCAGCTATGTATATTGTTGGATTAGTGTATAACTTGCAAATAATTAAAATAAACAACACGTTGTTGTGAACAAATTGTTATTGATATACGTCTGAAGGACAGTCGCTGTAGGTTCCTACATTTAAGAAACAAATTAAATAAATCGTGTACACTAATCCGTGTCATTATTAAACGTTGTAAATACGATATCGTCCACATTCAATGCACGTTACACGTGCTGCATCTTTCGTGGCTAGCGCAACAAGAAACAGGCGCGTCAAGCGGTGCAAGTTTTGATCTTTGTCAATTCAACACCTGTCCCACAAATGCTTGTCCTCTGCTTTTTTGTTACGCGGGACACGCTCATGGTACTTTCGGTGTACGATTATATTTTTAATGTTACGTTCAAAATTTAATGTTACAGTCTAATGTATTATCAAATAAAATGAAGTAAGAACATTTAACACTTTGTTTCTGTGAATTCCCAAAATTACGCTATAAAAGACACTCGAGATGAGGTTTAAGAGAAGCTGAAGTGATTCCGAGTAATTCAAATATGGCCAGTTATCGTGAGGGTCACCGACTTGTTTGTACGCAATCTGATTATTTATAACGGCAGGGCCACATCTAGAAGTTACGTGTTTCGGGTTTTACACCGCATTGCCCCAGAATAACGCGCGGGGATTTCTTGGTATCAGAGAATGCGCGGGCGCTGGTCGGTCGCCCCGCGGCTCCCCGCCGCCGTCCGCGCCCGCAGCGACGAGTATTTCGGAATCGGAAATAAAGGATTCTGGGAAATCGTTGGCCTCAACGAGGCGCGCGGCGATGCGGGCAGGACTGAGTACGCACGATGAACTTGTTTTGTGGGTGTTATAAATGAGTTTTAGCTGCAATCGCATTACGTGGATGACAATTCAGTGACTTTAAATTAGAGGTGAATGTATCCAAACAAGTTCAAATTCTTTTGATTGCATTACGTAGCAGTTTCAACTTCATGGATGACTTCGGCTAAAACCATTGATCTAGTAAATGCAGTTCCGAGAAAATACGTACACATTCCTCTAAAGACTTCCTTAGTTTGCGTCTTTGGTTAATAACGCTCTGGTTACAGGAAAGCCGTACCCATCAGTGGGGCATAAATGTCAACGTTTGAAAGTTGGCCCAGCTTTGTAGGTCGTTCGTTTCATATCATTAGGTTTTATAAACGAACATGCTATACTGAATAAAAAATAAACCGGCATTAAATCGCGAGGAGTGGAGGAAAGAAAGTGAGGCCTTTGCTCCGCAAAGGAATAGCAGGAAAAAAATTTAAAAAATACCTTGCCAACCTCTACTCAAATACAATAGTACCATCGTGGAAAATCATTTCGGATGAAAGTACTAGTAGGAAAAAAGTCTCGCTAGTACCACAGTGGTATGTACTTGTCAGTGGACTAGTGGGAATGAATGCAGCCAAAGAGCCCCTTTTAAACGTCCCGAAAGAAAGATTACGTATTGCATTTTACTAAAGAAAAAAACAAATACGTTTCATCTTCATCAACCCATATACGTCCCACTGCTAGCCATATGTCTTCTCTGGGGACAGGGTTGGATTGTTCCCGGCACTGTCCCAATGCGAGTTGGGGTTTAGGACTGTGACGCGGGTCTCGATTAATTCAATACAAGCCTCGGTCACATGAATTTTATTGTAGAAATAAAAAAAGTTTACAGGAAGGGAAAAGAACAGGTAAAAGTAAAGACCCAAAAAGCCTGTATTTTGTAGAAGTATTATGCTTCATAAGCATTAGGTTACATGATTTAACTGGAATTGCATGTCAAGTCGAGCACGTGTGTCGCTTCGGAAATTTAGTAGAGAGAAAAGAGAAAGAAGAGAGTGACGAAGAACAGGAATTTAGGAACGATTCGAAATTTTAAAAGTAAGTGGCCAGAAACAAGAGAAAAAGGTGATCGATAAAAAGGTGGGATGACGATGAAAGAGGTCGCATCAGTCGTCATCATCGTCAGCAAAGGATAACTTTTCGCAGGTTTTGTCACCATTTTTACTTCGCCGCGTAGTTATCTACTTATCCTTTTTGGATATTAGCGGTACCTTTTTAATACTGAAGACTGCTAACAGACTGGCTGCATGTTTGCAGTTAATGCGTGAAATCGTAATCAACTTAACTGCATGTAGTCGAAACCGACTTCATGCAGCCTACATCGACTGCGTGCAGTTAATGCGTGAAGTCGTTAAACTTCATGCAGTCGAGGTCTCGGCTGCATGAAGTTGATTACGACTTCACGCATTAACTGCAAACATGCAGTCAATCTATTAGCAGCTTTATAAATTCTACATGATACGAGTAAGTATATCATGGAGAGCGTGCGATGTCAAAGTCAAAGTCAAAGATTATTTATTCCATAGGTAAAATAAATTTACACTTGAAAACGTCACATTTAAGCTACTGCTCGTTCACTACGCTGACCTCCCTGAGAAGAACGAGCAAGAAACTCTAGGGATTGCTCTTTTCAAATAAACTTAAATGCTATGGAATACACTTTGAATCAAATTTGTGTGGATTCTGGAGCCATGTCGTCTTTCCGTACATCTTTATCTAACACGTAAGTAGTCTTCAATTTTGTAATATGATTTTTCGATCAAAATATTTTTAATGTAGTTTTTAAACTTAGGAAATGATAAACTTAATATATGCTCCGGAATCTTATTGTAAAAACGTATACAGTTCCCCATAAAAGAGTCGTTTACCTTGGTTAAACGAAATCGTGGTACCATGAGTTTGGACTTAGCTCTAAGGTTAATATTATGGATATCTTCTTTCTTATTGAAATTATGTATATTTTTACGGGCATATAAAATATTTGAGTAAATGTACTGTGATGCCACAGTCATGATACCAGTCTCCTTAAACTTTTCTCTGAGAGATACCCGAGAGCCTAGACGGTACACAGAACGAATCGCTCGTTTTTGCAATACAAATATGGTTTGAATATCTGCCGCTTTACCCCACATGAGAATCCCGTAGGACATTATACTATGGAAGTATCTAAAGTAAACTAGTCTAGCAGTACTAACATCGGTAAGCTCACATATTCTGCGGACTGCGTATGCAGCGGAGCTTAATCTGCTGGCCAGAGACGATATATGTGGAAACCACTGAAGTTTACTATCTAAGGTCACTCCCAAGAAGACTGCTTTATTAACAAGGTCTAACTTTTCTCCGTTTATTTCTATGCTTGGACTAGTCGATTTTACGTTAGGTAATTCAAATTTAACACATTTTGTCTTCTTGGCATTAAGCAATAAATTGTTAGCATTAAACCAATAAATTACCTTAGAGAGGGTATCATTAATACGGTCATAGTTAATGTCATGTCTGTCTGTTTTAAAAATCCAGGATGTGTCATCAGCAAACAAAACTATACGATGGAATTGCATGATTTAATTCTACCTTCACCTTTTCAACACTGGCGAACTAGACGTTCAGTGGGGTTCCATCCCTATGTGGTGGGTATTCCGAGTATACGCACGAAGCGTTACGCTTCCTCATTTATATGGCAAACGGCTAACTTGCGCTCACTTTCAAAGGGCACAGGATAGACGGCATACGTTGGTGGTGGCGTTTCGCGCGGCGCGCATGCTGGAAGGGGCGCTATTGGGGGCGCACACAATAGTTGATAGCAAAGAGGCGCTTGTAGCAGCGGCGCCTCCGAAATCAGGACTGGCAGTTGGCTCATCTGAAAAATATTGAATTAATGTAAAAGCCTAACAATGAAATAGTTATTTGTTATGCAAGGCTGCAAAGTTGTTATTTCAGGCGCGAAGTGTGAGTGCTTTGCAAGGCGAGAATGAATAGGCATTATTTAGATGTGCATGGTTAGTCATCTACCTTGTCCTCCCTTTCCAGTAGATAAGATGGACGCCAAATGCGAACTAA